TCTGGCAAGTGTTACTCTTCGCGCAAAGGGTTTATACCTAGATACACGAATGCTTCGACTAAGGTCTGGGAACTCTATGGTATTTTGGAATTATAAAGAATTTGTGCTTTTATTTTAACAATATTGGTTATATTTAGATGTATTCTTATTAATTGAAATACAGATTTGTAGAAGTAATACTTTGACAGTTTTTATTAATATACTCGTAATATATTCAATTTTTATCTGACCATACCGAAGTAGGGAATTTTGAAACTTTATAGTAATGTGAAATTTGAATTACAATATTACACGAAATTACATAAGTAGTACTTATTTTAGGTAGGTACTAAATTTGTACTTGGAGAAAGTAATATCGATTTTTACAAGAAAACTTGAAAAGTAAATTAATTTAGTTCCTATTTCTGATGTAAAACTTAAACCAAGAAAACAAATGAATAGTAGTTAGTTCAACAAGGGTGGATATGATAGCCATATAACACAAAGACGAAGTTTGAGCACGACGTCGTAGGCGGAGTACTCAATCGTCTGATTGTGATATGAACAATCCACTCGATATGGTCAGTATATTTTTTCTACGACCCACTAACGAAAATCTACAAATTTAAAAAAATATTTTAGGTTATTTAGACAAAATAACTAATTTTAAAATAATTTACGAAGTTGACTAATTTATAAAATAAAATAAACATGAAAAATTAATTAGTCCTCGGCCTAGATTTGATCCCGGGCTTTTCGCGTAGAAGGCAGATGCTCTGTCCTCATCTTCACCGAAACTTTCAGGACTTTAATTTTAATACTGTAGCATTTAGATTTTCATAGGGTAAATACTATGATAATTTTCAATATAAATATTATTAAAAGGAAGTAATCTTACTAAACTTACCTTATAGAAACAGTTCATTCTTGGGTATGTTTGGCTTTTACAATTTTGTTTGAATTAAGTAAATAACTTTGGGATTTAATTAACTAAATAAGTTTGTTTGTCAAAATTCAAATTATATATTTATTTTCATAGGTTAACATTTTCTGCCTATGTCACTGAACTAAAATTAGTTCTGTGTCAAAGAGTGGCAGTGTTCTTTTTTTTAAATTTTGGTCTCTGACATTTGGGGTGTCCATATAATATTACAAGTATGAATTGGCTGAAGACTTCGAGATTCGATACCATTTTCATGGTGCAACCGTGCAATTTCTAGTGATGGTTTCTGATTCTAAACATCTGATTGGTCAGAAATTTTAGTCACAGAATGTTTGAGAAGTTGCCTTTCTGTCTTGATAAAGCCTTGGTTTCTTTGAACACTTCGTCGCGGTGAGCGGACAGTCCGTCAACCGTCGCGTTTTGACGATTTTATCCAACCAGAGTATTTAAATGGGAATGGTTTTCTTGAATCCGCTTAGCTGAACAGGACGGCGTCATGCCGCTGATTTGTCGCGAAGAGTCGGTTGATATCTGTTGAGTTTGATATCAGCGGAATCGTCGGCGTGTGCGGAGACTATATTGTTATTAATTTTAAAACAATGAGTGACAAATTCACACATACAGATGACATCATGACTTTATTTTTAGGTTTCTTGGAAATTATGTCCTTTATAAAACTCAACACGAATTCAAAAAGATCTGTAGAAAGTCTAAAATACTCCCTAAATTTGGTTTCATTTCCAAAAAGCCTCCGCTGCACAGTGATATTAAAGGCACCTTCTGTATCGCGACAGAAAAACAACTCATTCACTGGCTTATTGGAAACTTTGACGGTTGCAATTGCCAGTTCCTCTTGTTCTTCCTCTTCCAACAATAATAACAACGCAAACAATTTATTTGCAACCATTTTAGTACCTTTCGTTTACATTCATAATACATAAACAGCACGTACAGACATAGAGAAAGTATCATTTTCTATATTTTTTAACAAACCACCTCGGGCGAAAATTGCTGTCCTCAGCGGTCGACGGACTGTCCGCTCACCGCGACGGAGTGTTCAAAGAAACCAAGGCTTAAGTCAATAAGTCAAATTGTCAATTATAAATATGTCATTTCCGCTAATGTTTTTTTCGAGTAATAAGGGGTAATAAAAGGCCTGGAGAGGAAATTGTTGGGGCCATTTTTGCTTTGCCAGTGTTCAAGTTGAATATAAGTTTCCTTTTTTTGCATTTTGGTTTGCCAGTGTCATTTTGAGTCTATACCCCGTTTTAGGGGGATCATTCACCTGTGCACGAATAAGGAGCTTTGTATTACAAGGGCATTTTTCCACTGGAAAAAAAAAAAAAAAAAAAACCTCCACTTAGGTGAGTTTTTCTGATATTTTTTTTTGAATTGCGACGCTTCCATGTGGCCAGGTTAAAACGCAGATTATTTTATTAGGGTTCTGTCTGGTTTCTACGATTTGGAGTAGGGTCCCTGACCTGTTGAAGGCAGCTGTAAGTCTGCATGAAAAGCGGAGTTGAGTCCGGTTACTTCCAAACCTCCAACCCTTTTTTTAAAAGGTGAGTTTTTTTTTTTATTACAAAAAATGTTTTTTTAAATGATCGTGATTGAGACCTTCGTTTTCTTTCACGATAGGGTCCTAGGATAGGGCTAAAGAGTCCAAAGATAGGACATGTCCTCCCCAACCTCGATGGTGATTTTTTTGTTGGAAAATGATGAAGCCTGGGATATTTTCCGCTCCAGGGACTTTGACGCTGAGCCTCTATGTTTGTCCTGCTGTCACTGTGGAGTCCGGTCTGACCTTCCCAAGTCTGTCTATTTGGAATAAGTCACCCCTATAGTAGATAAGTAGTAATGTCCAGGTCCAGAAGTCCTGTTAATTTTCGTTTAATCCTTTAGTTTGGTTTGGGAACCGAAGATTTGGTAAATAATCAAAATTTAACTATATTTATGTAATTTTAGACAACCCTGTCTTTTTATTTAGCACATATTAATATGTAACTGGAACCTACTGTGTAAACCGAAAGTAACGTTACCTGAGGCATATAGAGTATATTTCCTTTTAACGTGGTTCAAACGGTAAATGTTTTTTTGTTTTGACCATGTATACTCAATTTAACTAATTTTAACTTCTTTGTGCCCTTTAGTGTATTTTAGTAAATACATTTTAACATGGTTCAAATTTCAAATGGTATTTTTTGTTTTGTTTTGACCATGTATATTCAATTCAGCTAATCTTAACTTCTTTGTGCCCTTTAGCGGGTTTTAGTATATAATTTATATATTTGATAAGTAATTTGGTTCTTATAGTAAAAATCAACACTGTATTCCAATCATATTATTTTTAATTTTTTTTGGTATAAACCTGGACATTTAATGTAAATAATAATTACACCTATTTTATCATCATCTTTAAATTTGATATTTCGGATAGGGATATCTATTAATCTTTTTTATAATAAACATTTTTTTAAAAAAAAAGGTAATGAGTTTTATTTATGAGGTACTGGAATGCCAATTTTTCTACAATTTTATTTAGGTTTCTTCAAATTTTCCTGAGACTAACAGCCTTCTTAAAAACTTGGAGTGGCGCCCACTACAAAAATAATTATAAATAATTATTCTTGTTATTTTTTTTTTAATTCACCAAGCCAGTCACCCATAGTGCCACCAGACGAACAGCTGCCGGAGCTAAACACTATATCATTCCTTCAGGAAAATATAGGGTACAATACTCGTAATTAAATTAGTATCATGTAGTTTGATTAAAATTTTTTTTTTAAATGTGGACACAATTAAAACAAAAATGCTATTATTTATCGAGTCTACACAAAAATTTTACTGTATATTTAATATCAATAACTAAAATATATATTGACAATTAGTTTAACAGAATTGTCACTTATTTAAAAATTTTTAAATAATAGGAGTTGGGTGACCAAAATATGAACGTGATATGTAGATTTAATTTTGTTAAAGTGTTCTCACTACCTAAAATGGATATGAAATATATTTGTAGTTGAACGCAATAGCATACTTTTTCGTTTTGTAGCATGTGCATAGATTGGCTAATATCCATGCACAGATTACAAAACGAAAAAGTATGCTATTGCCTTCAATTGAACAAATATATTTCATATCCATTCTAGGTAGTGAGAACACTGCAAAAAAAAAATCTCCAATCACCGTTCATATTTTGATCAACCCACTGCTATTATTTTTAAAATTTTAAATAAATGACAATTCTGTCAAACTAATTGTCAGTAATTTTTTAGTTATTGAGATTAAACATACATTAAAATAGGTTATTCTTTTGGAAAACAGCATGGATGACTAAAGGGTATTGGGTTAATTAATTCTAAAAGTGTGGTACAAATGTTCCGTTCAGAGTCGAGTAAAATAGTTAAACACATGACGCACATACAAACAAGGACAACCCTGGTTTTTCAAAGTTTTTTCCCAGGGAAGACAATCACAATTAAATTCCCACAAAAACCGACATTAAATTCAATTTTTGATCGCAAAACCCACCAATATTGCCGTATAATATCGACAGATAAGGAGATGGCACGTTTAAATCCAAATTTATGAGTTGAATCCTAGGTATTTCGGGCTAGGGCGTCGAGCACAGACAGCCGGGCACATGAAGATGCCTTGATTCGTCTTTCCGTGAGTGTGAATATATCATCATGTGTTTATATCTTATCCAATAACATGTATATAGATTAATTGTAAATAAAGAGATTTTAATGATGATAATGATAGCTCTTAATGATCAATATATGTTCGAATCGGGTACCTCACCTTTTAACGACCGCTGGTGAATTTTTTGGAACTACGTTGTGTTTGGTGCCATATCGTCTTTTGTTTTTATAGGGAAGTTAAAACATCTATTGTCTTTCATCGTGGGCACGGCCACATTAGACAGAATTAAAAATTAGCAGTGGCGTCACAGTAAAGAAAAATATACAATTAGTTGATTAAATTAGAAGCTTCGACTCTGCAGGAAACACTACAAATATAAAAATTAGGTTTTAAATAAATAATACAATTTCATATAAAATAAGATTAATTTTATTGGTTCAAAAAACAAAAATTTTAATTTTAATTAAAAACAACGCATTACGCTGTGAGACACAGATACTGACCTCGCAAATATTTTAAAAATAATTTAATTTATTTTTTGTTTGTTTATTGTTTCCCTGCAATAAACTAATGATTTCAGGAAGGTCTAACAGAGTTGCCATATATCCAAAGAAGAATTTTTTGCATTATAAAAAATTGTGCAAAAAAATGTTTAAAATACATAATTGTTACTTAACACTATAAAGTATAAGATTGTCAGACGCCCCTTTTTAGGCGTGATTGTCACGCTTTTTCACTTGGTGTCACGCGTCACGCCAAAGTTTACACCAATATCTGAATACATTTTGTGTTCCAAAAAGTTTTATGTACATAAGAAATAAAATATTTTGCATCACTTAGGAATACATAATCAAACATGAAGTGTATTCAGATATTGGTATTTAAGATGTACTCTGCTTCGAGCACCTCACAATCTAAAAAACAATACCTGAATGTACTTGCTTGTTAGCGACGTGCTCAAAGAGCACGTTGCAATCCATTAGTGTATTCTAAAAGTTTTATAAGTTTTATATAGATAAAAAAAAGTTTTGTTAAAAAAAATATGTATTCTTGATAAAATGTTTTGCATCACTTGGGAATACATAATAAAACATAAAGTGTATTCAGATATTATTGGTATTAAAGATGTATTCTTCGAGCACGTCACAATCTAATAATTTGGGACACACTGTATAATAGATTGCGACGTGCTCTTTGAGCACGACGTTGACGACAATACCTGAATGTACTTGCTTGTTACCAATGTGTTCAAAGGGCACGTTGCAATTTATTACACCGTGTGTTCCAAAAAGTTTTACACACATAAAAAGTTTTGTTTAAAAATAAATATATATTCTTGATAAAATGTTTTGTATTACTTGGGAATACATTCAAATATGAAGTGTATTCAGATATTGTTAATAAAGATGTACTCTTTGAGCACGTCACAATCTAAAAATCTAAAAAACAATACCTGTATGTACTTGCTTGTTAGCGACGTGCTCAAAGAGCACGTTGCAATCGATTAGTGTATTCCAAAAAGTTTTATAGACATAAGAAAAAGTTTTGTTAAAAAAAATATATATTCTTGATAAAATATTTTGAATTACTTGGGAATACATAATCAAACATAAAGTGTATTCAGATATTGGTATTTACTCTTCGAGCACGTCACAATCTAAAAAATTAGGACACACTGTATAATAGATTGCGACGTGCTCTTTGATTATACACATAAGAAAAAGTTTTGTTTAAAAAAAAATATAAATTCTTAATAAAATGTTGTGCATCACTTGGGAATACATAATCAAACATAAAGTGTATTCAGATATGTGTATTAACGACGTGCCCAAAGAGCACGTCCCAGTCCTATAATTTGAGACGCACTGTATAATAGATTGCGACGTGCTCTTTAAGCACGTTGTTAACAACAATATTTGAATGCACTTTGTTGTTAATCTAAAAATTTGGGACACGCTGTATAATAAATTGTAACATGCTCCGTCGTTAACAACACAATACCTGAATGTACTTTCTTGCAAACGACGTGCTCAAAGAGCACGTTGCAATCCATTACACCGTGTGTTCCAAAAAGTTTTATAAACACGAGAAAAGGTTTTGATTAAAAAAAAATTCTTGATCATTTGTGAATCCATAATCGAGTATTATTACTTAAAAAGTTGTTTTGTGTTCTCAAAAAATATTGTGTAATTAAGTTTAAAGTCTAACAATTTCCGTAAATTGCAATAAACAACAAAAAAAACTGGTAACTCTCTAGTTATTTGCTTCTATTGAAAATTATTTACTGCTTTAGATTTACATGGACGTTTTTAACACAATTAAAAATAAAATCAATAAAAAAAAAGAAAGCAACAGTTAAACTATCTTTATAAAAATAACAAAACAATTAAATATATAAAAGCCCTTCTCTAATTTTGACCGAAACTCGCGCGCTCACAAAATCGCGGCAGCCTAAATTTTGCAATGAGCTCCTATACTTGTCCTATACTTATCTTGTTTTGAGAATATATTTTAATTTTTTTATACCGGGTGTTCAAATTAAATACCGCGGAAAATATGCATTTTAGAAAAAAAAGTTTCAGACAAGTTTTTTGGGGGAAACATTTTGGCTAAATTAATTTTCTTATAGCTGACCGTAATATGGCCATATCAAAGGTGGACTTTGTTTTTTTAAATTGGAACCCCATTTTATTTTTACATATTCCTAGAGTACATAAAAAGATAAGAAACTTTTGAGGGAAATATTTTTTTTTATTGGTCTTTTACTTTTTGAGTAACAGCTACTTGAAAATTTTTCTAGGTGAAAAAAAAGTTGGCCATATTATGGTTAGCTATAAAATATGATTTTATCCAAAAAATTTTCCCCACAAAACTATAAAACTTTTGTCTGAAACGTTTTTTTTTTATAAAAGGCAGAATATAGCTGTAACACTTTAATTTAAACACCCGGTATAATATGAAATGTCAGCATTCCATTACACATTCCTGAAATTTTCCCACTGTCTATTATTTTGAAAAGTTAGTTTAGTATTTAAATTTAAAATTTTACTTCGCTACAGGCCTCATGTCTATAAACTTGAGCGATGTTATATTGCAATATCAATAAATTTTGACAAGGTTCATAATTTTTTAACTGATAATACAATCTCTTGCACTTGTTTAAAATAAACTGGTCCAATTCTTCGTTGTATTCTTGAGAAGGTTCCAAATTCAGTATGAACGATAGAGGGATCTCTTTTCCAAATGGCAGGTTATCTCCAGTGGGCCAGTTATTGGTACAAGCTTTGCAATCACATTCAAACAGGTAAAGTTCCTTTAGTATTTTTTGTCGATAAGCTCTTGACTGATTGTCGAAGGTTAATCTATAAATAACATTAAATAATTAATATAACGAGACCTTCATAATCGACTATGGGTGAGATTACAGAACGTCTGCAACTTTGCAGATCTGCAAATATGGCGGCAACTTTGAAAATCTGCAAATATGACTGACTTACACATGCAAGTATCAAGTTTTCGTATTCCAAATTTGGGTTTAGTGTTGTTGGGGGTAATAAATCACAATAAATATTGCTAATTTGCAGATATTTTTTGGAATACTTACATTTGTAAGTCCGCCATATTTGTAGATCTGCAAAGTTGCAGACGTTCTGTAATCTCACCCTATATTTATAATGGCTAACTTTCTTAGGCTAACATTAAAGATGGACCTCGGTAACAGCCATCATCTTGTTAAAAGGAGATATACTACTTGGATCTAAATTAAATAATTTTTTGATACATCTTAATCTTTGCCACATTAAAATTTATTTTATTTATTTATTCAAATAGGTACACTACATAATTACTATTCTAAATTGTAGGTACACAAAATTAAAATATACATTATGAAGACTAGAGATAAGGAGGCGAATCGGCATACTCAAAATCCGGTCCCAAAAAACCCACGCTAATTGAGCTTTTATAATTAACCGCATGGGCGCTGGTACTGCATACGGTGATCAAAATACATTGCTTCTTATGGGAATTATACATAATTTTGTCAAAATAATAAAAATAACTTGTTTATAGCTAAATAAAGCACAGAACATATTGTTGTATTTATTTCTAAATAAGTCTTGCATGTTTTAATTAATAAATTATTTAGGTTTATCTATATAAAATACAAATTAGGTAGATATGACCAAATTCAAAAAGGTTTGTTAAATGCTGAAATTTGATAAGTACAATTTTGTGGCATTTTTTTGAATGGAACCTATATATATATATATATATATATATATATATATATATATATATATATATATATATATATATATATATATATATATATATATATATACATTTATTCATTGTGGCACCAATTTATACACTTGCCATACGTTGAGGCACCAAAAATTTCGTTGTGGCACCACATATTGGTGCCAGAACGTTATGAGGACCAGACTCTACTAAATGCTATCAGAATATTATCTGGGGCCTGTACGCGAATTTTCGTATTGGTGCTTTAAAGTCACTGAACGTATACTTATATAGGATTTAGTTCTCACTGTATATAACTGGAGCGCGCTCCTTGTTATACACCAACTTGTATTTTATACTTATTCGCTTTTGAGGCACCACTCTAACTACCACGGTTAAACACCTACAAAGGCATTTACTTATTCGCTCTTGAGGCACCACATTGAACAACCAACGTGGCAACAACGCTTTGTCTAATATCGCATTTTTATGTTACTATTTTCTCGTGAATTTTATCTTCAGTGGCAAATATTTCCAGCGTAAAACAATAAACAATGCAAACAAAAATAGGAATCTGCTCGATATGTGATCGCGGGGTGATGAGTGATATTGTGATGACTTATAATAATCAATTCGCATGTGCAATTCTGAACTTTTAATTTCAGTTTTGTTACACGATGGTTTCTCGTTCGAGGTGATTAGTGGAATTAGCCGCTTTGGTACATCATTTTGATTTTGAACAGGAAGAATTCTTAGAGTACAATGACGATGGGACATATAAACCATCCTGCTGCTGCTGCTCAAACATAGATTTTGACGTACTTGAGGGAGGTCATTTCCTACTTTTTGGAATATATTTATATTTACGCTTGGAATAGAAAAGTGGCTTGTAATATTATTCTCTATAATTTTTGTCTTACACATGATTTTTCTAAAATGGTCCGTATTTCAAAAATTTAACAAAAATGCAAAAATTCGAATTTTTAAAAAAATTGTTTTTATCAAAACTGTGATGTTATCCTCTATAATGCTTGTTCCGTACATATTGACCCTCTTCGAGATATTTGAGAAAAAGTGCAAATTTTGAATTTTGAACACTTAAAAACGAATGAAGAAAAAAACACCAAATTTTAAATTTAAGCCTTAATCCATCCTGTGGTGAATAGATTTAAGGCATAGTCGGAATATCTGGGCTACTTTATAGAGGACCGTTTTTCTACTTTATAAAATATATCTGTTACTTACGCCAAGAGAAGAAAATTCTTCAAATAAAAGTTGTTTGTAATGTGTATCACTATAATTTTTGTAATACATATATTTTTTATAAAATGGTCCATATTCGAGAAATTTGACAAAAAAATGCAACATTCAAATTTATAAGAAAATTATTCAAATGAATATATATTTAAAAATATTTCGAGTAAGGTGTGTGCAAAAAAGTATGTATTTACTTCATACTTTAAACATGACAGGAAAGTCATGTGTTGGACACATTAATAATTGTTGATAGGGATTAAACATTTAAAAACATTTTAAATAACTTAACGGTTCATTTTAACTACTTTAATATCAATTTTCTTAAAATCCGCCTATGCAATTCTTATGTGACAATTTTAGGAATTCCAATTATTTTTAACGTCAACATTCTATAAATTGCAAACATTCTCTAACGACCTGTCAAACAACAGCTGTTGATAGTAAAGGTGAAATTTTTAAGGCGGGTTGCGACCTTCATACTTGCAACCATAGCCATTTTGAAGGCTATTTTTATTCGAAATTAGTCGCCAAGCCTATTTATGAAAAATATATAAGCAGTTTCTTAAAAATTTCTTTTTTATGGTAGTGCTAACTTAAGCGTACTACTATTTCGCCCCTAACCACAAAAACACATTCATCAAATTTACTGGCTATCTCTCGGAACCCTATAGAATAATTAACCGGATAGTTTATTTGACAAAAAACAGAACAATCCTTGGATGTGCCTGTCAAGTATCAAGATGTCAACTGTAATGTGTGAATGGCTCTTAAATGTCAATTTTTTTAAAAATGTATGCTTCTTTTGATATTTATTGCAAATAATTTGTAATGTATCTCAATTCGGGCTTTCCATAAATAAAGGTACAGCAAGACAAATAATATAATGTTCTTATACAAAGCACATTTTTAATACATAAAAGAGAGTTAGAATATAATGCTGGTTTTTTGTAGATAATTTTAATTATACAGTTTTGAATTACATGTTCAACCAGCGAATTGTAAATAATAATTAGAAAACTCATAGTCATAATTTTCCTTAAATCATAAAATTTAAAAATGAATCTTCTTACCTTGGGATTTTAATGACGTTATGTGATCAAATCATTTCAAATTTTGATACCGAGGTGTTTTTCATTTTAATTATAAAGTTGTCATTTATTTGTATGTTAACAGAAGGCCTTTGTAAATTACATTGCTCTCTATGGATCTACTTTAACACAAAAATAGTTTTGTGGCTATAAGTTGCTATAACCTATCGTCGCAAAACTATTAATAATTTAAACAAAGTACGTAGTAAAAAGAGGTAAAAGAAAGTATATCCGTTCTGTTTATTTATCAAGTATTGTTTGAGATTACTTTTGAATACATTTATTGTTTTTTTTTTTTTAATTTCTGTAGGCAGTCTATTAATTTTTTAAACCTTTAATAAAAATTGTAATTTGGGAATTTTTTGTGATGGCTTGGGGTACATGAAAGTCAGATTGGTTTCTTGTAATATAGTTCTGATATTGTGAATAACATTGAATTTTTTCTAATAGATCTGATGCGATGGATTTGTCATTTTTATTTTATAAATAAATATCAATCATGTACTGAACATAATTCTGAACTGAAAGCCAATTTATTTCTTTTAACATAGTTGCAATACTCATCCAGTCCTTTATTAATAGAATATAAATAGGCGAAGTAAGGAACCCAAATATTTTACATGAGCAGACCTAAGAGGTAAAGGGGCCAATTATTATTGGATAAATTGCTCGAACAAGTTTTTAAACCCTAATCAAAAGGCGATATAGAATGGTTTTAAAAATCAAGGCTTGTGAAAATCGTCACATGGTTTAACCTAAGTAATGCATGCCAATGCTTCACAAAACAAAAAATTCAACGTCCTAATACTGCTATCAGCTTTCGGTCTTTCGTTCCAAGTTAAATCATTTCTCGTTTTTGTTACGCTACGAGTTTACCCTTGTGGGCCTGAGTCTCGATAAGGTGGGAACCACCATTTTAGCGTCTCTCGAATTATCATAATTTTTAGATTGATTTCAAAATTGTTTAATATACAGGCTTATAAGATACTAAGCTAACAAATAGCGGTGATAGAACTAGTTTATTTTCTACAGAGTGTTTTGAAACATGTCTTAAATATTGCTAATTTTAAGTTTAATTTACTCAATTTTTCAAATGCAACACCCTGTATATTATTTAAGCATAAAATTTATTATACATTTAACTATCCAACGATACCAACATGTTAGCTAATAAAGCATACACAGGGTGTCCCATCAGTGCGTAATTGATGGACAGTTTTATTATTGGAAATACGAAAAAAAAAATTAATATAAATGTTGTATGACCATGTTTAACAATTATTTTTAAATATACAGGGTGGTTCATAAACGAGGTGCTGACCAAATCTATACTTTTTTAAAGCTTAACACCTTGCGGGTAGTTTTACATATTTGATTGTTATGAATTACATCGTCAAACAATTTTAAATTACTTCCCTCATTTGCTATGTTGTAAATAGGGTGTTTAAAAACCTGAGGTTATGATTTTTTAAATGGAATACCCTATATTAATTAATTGGTAGTATAACATATATGGTATTTCATTTAAAAAATTGAGAAAACCGTTGCCTCGCATATGGTCATACAACTTTTATATATATATTTTTGTTTCGTATTTCCAATAATAAAACGGCTATCCATTAAATACGCACTCATGGGACACCCTGTATATGTGTTATTGTCTAATATTTTGGAATCGTTGGATAGGTATATGTATAAAGAATTTTATGCTAAAATAATATACAGGGTGATGCATTTGAAAAAACCAGTTCTATCACCACTATTCGTTAGCTTAG